GGGGTGGGAAGCGGAGCGCGGCGCCGTGGCGACGCGGAGGTGGCGGGGGGGGTGGGGGCGTCGGGTCGGCGCTCCGTAGTTGCGCGTTCCGGGGTACGGGGGGGAGGAGCGGAAAGGGCGCGGGAGAAGGGCCTGGCCTGGAGGGTCTGCAGCTTCTTTCGGTTGTCCTTTGCAGAATGAAGACCATTCTCAGCAACCAGACCGTTGACATCCCCGAGCAAGGTACGTCTGCGTGTGCCTTTGAAAGGCGTTTTGGGGTGCTGACCCCGCAGCCGGTTAACCCGCGTCTGCCTTTGATTTCCAGTCAGTGTTTCGCTGAAGGGCCGGACAGTCATTGTAAAGGGCCCCAGAGGAACCTTGCGAAGGGATTTTAACCACATCAATGTGGAGCTGTCTCTCCTGGGAAAGAAACACAAGAAGGTGAGTGCTGCGGAGGTCGTGTCTCTGCCCAGAGAGGGAGGGTGGCTTTACGGTTAGCTTTAAAACTTCTCGATAGTGCAGGAGATTGAACCAAAACTTTTAGCCGCAGGTGAGTTATTTAATTCTTCGCTTGTTGCTGTGTTTCCTGAAAGAGGCTGGTCTCATGGAACCTTGGAACCGACTCGGGAACTGTGGAATTCTTGAAGTTATGCGATGTGCTGGAGTGAATTTGTTGGTTGATTTTCTTTTGTAGTTACAGTCAGATGGTTACTGGGAAGGGGATTGATCACTACGTGCTCTGTTTTATAAACTGGTTAGTCTTAGCTAGATAAAACTAAATCTCTACGTTTAATTTTCAGAATTGGCAAGTTACGTCACGAGAGCAGATGTTTTCTAAATAAATGCGTAGTATTTTTGTGCTGTCTTAAAACCTACAAAAAAAGGGGAAGAGTGGCTGATTTCAGCTACTTTTTCACAGGCATCTAGTGTCCCATTAAAACACTGGACCCCCACAACAGCGTTTCATTAAAAAGTTGATAGCTAAGGCCTAGGAGAGTGAGTTTGGAACAACCCATTCACTGTTTAGCATTTGATAAAACATGTTTCAGCTTAAGATGTCAGAATATCTATCCCAGCTTCTTTGAAGATTTGTTAGTAATGAGATATGAAGAAAAAATTATTTCTCATATGTCTGGGAGTTAGGGCTTAAAAGGCTTGAGCTAGGTGGGCCTTTAATAGTCGTCTTTCAAGGAAACAAAGTACTTTTGTGCTTTTGTTAGGAGGGCTTTTAAGCAGTTTACCTGAACTTCTCGCTCTTACTTTGTCACAAAAATGTTTCGTTTCTAGTTTTGAAGTGTAGCTGCAAGCTTTGTTTAATTCTGTTTATTTTTTTTTAACACAGCTACGTGTTGACAAGTGGTGGGGTAACAGAAAGGAACTGGCGACAGTTCGTACAATTTGCAGCCATGTACAGAACATGATAAAGGGTGTTACACTGGTGAGTTTTATTTTGAAATAGGATAACTCGTGTCATTTTTGTTACGACAACAACAGACAGCCTTTTACTTCAGTGAGAGCTTTTCTAAGCATCCAAGATGTAGCTTTCTCTCTCTTCCCCCCCCCCCCGTCCTGTCAAACAAGTTCTGCAGGTGGAAGAAAGCACAAACAATAAACTCTGGGTGTCTCTTGGGCTCAGTGGCTTGCCCTTGTTAAGAAACTATTTTCAATATATTTTGGTTTAGGTCTCTCCAGTAAGCTTAACGCATTTGTTTCACCTTTTGGATGCATTCTGCTTTCAATATCTGATGATGTCCTTTATCCTAGGGATTTCGTTACAAGATGAGGTCAGTGTACGCTCACTTCCCAATCAACGTAGTTATCCAGGATAATGGCTCACTTGTGGAAATCCGAAACTTCTTGGGAGAGAAGTACATTCGCAGAGTGCGTATGAGGCCAGGTGAGCGTGTCTGGAGATGTACTTCACTATTTCTAACTAGGGTTTCTAAACTACTTTCTTTGGGTACTGCCACTGATAACAGGAGATGGTGAATGATGGTTGAAGCAGCATTTGCCTGTCTAAATTTACGTAATCTTATGATACCTTTGCCACTGTTTAGATTTATTATTAATAATGCTGTTGTAATTTATTTTTAGTAATGAGAGCTAGCTAATAGCTAATAACTAGTTTAGAGCTAGTTATTGTAATATGAGTCACAAGGAGTCCAGTGTTTACTTTCATCACTGTGAGATCGTGACAGTGTTTATAGTTGGTATACTGCAGGTGCTTTATTTTAGATTGGTGTTTCCGTTTTAAACATTGTCCGTGAACTATTCACACCGCATCATATTTTTGGTCTTTGAAGTGGTGTTGTATTTCGAATTTCCTGATTGTCTAGGAGCATGTATGATAAACTTGAAAATTGTCATCTTACCTGTTGGTCTTATGTCTGGCGTACTTGGAGTTCTAGCAAAATGTCTAACGGAGTAGGCATTTGGTGGAGCTTGTTTAACTTCCGAAAGGAGGAGACAAGACATGTCGTAAACACAGTTGCCTTACGACTGTAGGGAAGAATTTCCATATCCATTTTTTTGATAGTTCCACTTCTGGTGAAGGTATGGGTAAGGATATTTAGTGTGACTGATGGTGTTTTGGGGTGACTTTAGAAGATAGCATCAGACTTGTCCAAAAACACTGGTATATACAGCACAGTTACTTAATGGTGGCTTTGACTTTGATTTACTGTGGGATATTAAGGGTGGGTTTGATTATTGTATTTGATTTTTTAAGTCGGCATTTACTTCAAAGATAGTAAAATGCTGGCTTAAAAGCTAACATCTATTGACTAAACAGATAAAACTATACAAACTTACTTGTGGTGTTCTCCTTGCAAATGAAAGTTTCCTGTTAGACTCTTGCATGTGTTTACTCCTTGTGAGTATTTGCAGTGTTGCTGGTATAGACATGGTGCTTGACGTGTCGAGGGCAAGGGTTTTTTAATAACTTTTGTTTGGGGTGACTCCAGTTTTGTCTTAATGAACATAAGAATGTGGAAAATGGCACCACCTAGCTGACGAAACCATGCTGGCAAAGTCTCTGGCTTGTACGTAGTGTTGGTGATTAATGCTGTAATGTAGTAACATTTAAGTAGGAATACTACTTAGTTGCTTTCAATCCAGAGCATGACTTGCACTAATCTTTGAGTTCTGAAACTGTGTGAGGGAGGACAGTCCTGGAAGGGGTTTGGGGGGCTCTTAACAAAGTCATAGAAGCTAATTATTGCCTAGAATACTACTTTCTAGATCTGCAAACTGGGACAGGACACGAATACTGTTTCTTTAGTACATGTAATGTCTTCACCAACAATTGTGCGTTTTCCTTTCTGTAGGTGTTTCCTGTGCAGTATCTCAAGCCCAGAAAGATGAGCTGATCCTTGAAGGGAATGACATCGAACTGGTGTCCAATTCAGGTTTGTGAAAGTAGATGTGTGGGAAGCTATAATGATGTGGCCACTTTAATCTGAAGATGTCAGCTTAGCAAACTGTCTTTTTTCTCAGACCCTGAGGTAAATGACAGCTCAGTCTTTTTTTTTTTTTTCCTCTAGTCACCGTAATTGCTTTTCATAGTTTTTTACACTTTTTCTAAACTTGGAGATGTTTTTACAAGCCCACAGAACATTTTTTTGGAGTCAGTATTGATGGCCTTTTTGGCACCAAACTTTTCAGCTTTTCAGTTGTACGAGTGTGCAGTAATAAATTGTCACTGCCCTGAGCTGCCAAGACAGGCTCGGTGAAATGCATTCTGTTTTCCTTAGAACTGACAGGATTTCAAATTGGTAATTCCTTTCTCCAGATGACAGTTTCATTTGTTAGTTGAAATATTGGAGAGTAAACAAAGGCTACAAGTTGGCTTGGACCTCTTGCGTTGTGCTAATGGTCTTG